AGATTAATTTATGAACCATTCCTCCCCATCAGCCAGTCGCTCCCCCCTCTCCCCAGTTCCGTGAAAGCCCACAGGCCGGATTAACGCGCTTCTTGACAAGTTAAAACGCTTTCATAGGTGCAGATGTGGCAACATCTCCCCTATTAACCCTCCCGCTCGCCCACCTCGGCAAAACGTCGAGGTGCGGTGGGGGGGGTGATTATGCGTTTCCCCGCAACGATGCAGATTTTGGTCTGTGCAATTTGGTGGTGCGGGGGGCGGTGGGTTGGGTGGGTGCATGACGCCGCCATCATTCCGGAAGGACGCTCCGGAGAAAACCGCTCCCATCACTTCCCGTGCGTGTCAACAGTGTGGTAGCGGCCGGCACGCGCAAAAAGGGGGGCCCGCGGGCGGGGGGGGGGGGGCACCGACACCAAACGGATGAACGAGAACGGATTTTAACGGTGCACGCGAATAATCACGGGAGGCTTTAAAAGCGCCAATAAGAAGCGTCGCACTTTAAGCGAGAATTACATCTCGGGCAGATCTCGACGCGGGGGACTGCGTTTGTGTGGAAGCGCGTGCGGCGATAGATGTGAGCAGTCGAGGTTTGCTGGGACAGACCAGTTTGCTGCGAGTTCATTTAACGGGCCGGTCAGTCTCCACGCGCCGACGACGACGATGATGATGATGAGACAAAAATAGGAGAGTTTGAGAGGGAAATTGAGAGATGAGAGCGCACGCCGTCTAAAAATCTCTCTACTCGCTTTGAGTGTTGCTTTGTTAGAGCCTTGGTTTGTAACCCTTCGAGAGAAAAAGTTGAATAAAATGGCGAACAGAGTACAATTGTTGGCTTTTAGTCTTAACTTAAAAAACACACACGCACAAAGTCATTTAATACAGCATTGGGGGGGTCATTAAATTATCTTCAAGATACACACAAACCTTTTAAGTTAAATCATTAAGTTGTCATAATAAAAATGGGAAGAACACTTTGGTATGTTTTGACAAACACTTTCGCTGCCTAACTCTCAAAATAATCTACTGGCGATTACGCCGTTATTATTATTATTATCATCATCATATAAAAACACAACCCACCGAGACACATTCCCTCCTTTGGTCTAAAAACATTTCGATATATTCCTTAAAAACTATTTAACTTACAACGACCACAAAGTTTCCCTGTGCCCTTCCTTGCAGGGGGCATTGATCAGTTCTGCACAAAATAACCCTCCCCCCCACACCCGGCTGCCGTTTGCAGCTAACGAGCGCTTTGGCAATTTCATCAACATTTTTGTAGTTTTTTTTAAAACGTATCGGCCGTGGAAATAAAGCCGCCGACTTGAACTCGCCGGCAGGAAGCACGAGCCGACGCCGCCGTTTTCCTGCCCGAGCAGATTTAGATTCGTTCTCGCCGCACTCGATGCACGCGCTCCCCACTACGCCCTGTCCACCTCGTGCAGATGCCACGTCGCCGCCTACGTGACCGCGAGTCACAGCCCGAGTCGCGAGCCCACAGCCGGGAGATCGAGCCACAGCCGAGTCGTGAACGATGGCTACCCCCCATTCTAGATTTGAAGCTTTCGTGACTGCAAGGATTCATATTCTTAGGTTTTTTAGGTAAAGTCACGTAGGTAAAAAATTAAAATTAATAACAATAAAATAAAAATCACGACGTTTCGGAGGCAACACAAGCTTCCGTTTTCAGGTGGAACCGTCACAGCACCTGAAGACGGAAGCTTGTGTTGCCTCCGAAACGCCGTGATTTTTATTTTACTTTTATTAATTAAAAAATTTTACCTACGTGACTTTACCGAAAAAACCTAAGAAGATGGCTACCCCACCCAATACGAGAGCGCGTGCGCGAGGTCACACTGCGTGGGTAAACACCGACGGAGCCCCAAGGGGTCACACGGGTTGAATCGATCACATCAGCCGGACGCGTGCCCGCTACTCAAGATGCGACCCCCCCCCCACTTTGTGCTTTCTCGCCGACCTCCGGCCTAGTTGGGGTGAATTGACCGGGACGGGGCCGCGCACACGGTGAACAACGCGAGCTGGGTGGCTAGGCCCCCGAACCCCGCTCGTCACACCAACGGCGACAAACTCAAATTGCGATTCCGGCAACGCTCGGCCAAATAACAGTGGGGGCGACGCAGGTGGACGTCCGACGCGACTCGCGGCTGCATCTTGGCAGCGTCTGTGGCTGTGGAAGCACGACGACACGAGAGAGAACTCAAGTCCCATCCCTCCTCATCCTCCTCCTCCTCCCTATTGCATATTTTGTCCACACCGCGACACGCTACATTCATTCACTGCGGAAGTTTGCGCTGCCCCTCGGGGAAAAGTTTGGCAGCGACGGCAACAAATAACGACGACGACAACGACGACGACGGTTAACCGCGACGAGAAATCTACACGCGCGAGCGCGACTTATGTCTAAATATTATTCCACAAGGTCAAACCTATTTTTGTGGGGTCGGGGTGGGGGGGTGACGAGGAGAGGGGGATTTCATATTTATACAACGAAACGGTGAGGTATTTGTTAAAAACAATTACAATTGCGCTTAAAAATTACTATAATAAAAACATGAACAACAAGTGAGGTAGAGAGAGGTAATAATGCCTTTTGGAATTACAGTAAAATAACCGCACTCAGATGCCCTGGAAAAGCAAATTGCAGATCGCGCAGTGAGAATACGGGGGGGGGGGGGGGGGGCGGTTCCAAAACTGCACCCCCCCCCCCTTACCTATGGCCGTGGCGCCATGTGGCCAAGCAGCCAATGGCGTGAGACCGCCGCCGGCGACGGCCACGTGGGCGAGCTGTAAACCAACGAGAAGGTGCCGCCCGTTCCCCCGCCCCCCCCCCCCCAGCTTGTAGCCGCGGAGGAGGAAGGGAACGGGAAAGAGGGCACCGCTGGCACCTCCGCCGCCGCCGCCGGCGCCGCAGTCCGTCAATGCGGCGACGCACGGCACTTCCCTGAGATGCTGCTGCAGTTCGATACCGGCGAGTGACAAAATTTCGACCACCCAGCTGTGCTCAAGGATGTCCGGTACGCAACCGACAAATCGAATTTCTTAAGATCCGAAAGGAGACCGTCCCCGCCCCCCGTCCCCCACATGCCGTCTCGTCCCCCCAGACGCCAACATGAGCCACACAGAGTGCCACGCAACACACACACACACACAGAGCGTCACACACAACATACACAGCTCTCTCAACCCTCTCGCGTGTTGGGGGGGGGGTGGGGTCTCCCTGTGCCTCACCCCACCTTCAACGTCTACATTGGCGACAATAACAAGGGGCAGCAATAAAAACGCGTTTTGTCCGCTTTGTTCTTTGGCTTTATCTCGTGAAATGTCTAACGTCTCCAGTTTATAAAATGTAAGCGAGCAAAAGCGAGAGATTCTCTCGATCCCTCGAACAAAATCCACGTCCCTCCCCCCGCCTTCAGTTAAGGACCGCGCGCCAGTTCCACCAAACATGCCGCTGCCAAAGTGCTTACACCATCCTAAGTCCAAGGACGGAGAACAATTGCGACACTCGTCCGCGCTTTGCCGGTCACGCAAGGAACCCCCCCCACCCCCAACGGGAACGGCACCCCCAGCGGGGGGGGCTGTACAATGGCCACGGTGCCTCCTCGCGCGCTCGCGAGAGGGAGCCGGCATTTAAAGTGGACGTCGTCAACGTTGACGCCGGACACGCGGAGGGATTGTGGGTAACGAACACGCCGGACGGCGCACCCGGCCACGCAGGCTCAGCAATTTGCTTATTTTCGGGCAAAAGGAGCGTCGCATTACATTTTATGAGTCTCACCGGCAGGGTACGGCCCCCGTTCAACGACGCTGCCGCGAGGGTGTGCCTGGTCGTTTACGCGGGCGGTGGGGTGGGGGGGGGGGTGAGCACTGCTCCACCAGAAGGCCCGGAGGCTTAACGACCAAAAGCTAATTTATGTTTTACGGCGGGGAAAAGGACAACCGCGTCTATTCATCCGCCCGGCACTGCCGCGAAGCCGACGGGAGCTCAAAATCGGACGCCTCCGACTGGCAAGTGAGCGAGCGGCGTTCAGCACTGCAAACGCTTTATTAGAGTCGGGCGGCGGGTTCTTGGGCGCCAGCCCCCGTCAACACGCTGCTGGGAGCGGACGCTGGAAAACTCGGCCGCAACCTCCCCGGGGCACAACTCTCCGTCACCCGACGGGGGAATCGACGGAGGACATGGACGGAGAGAGAGGAATCGTGTGAAGGGATCAGAACTCGTTATGCCGGTGAGGGGGGGGGGGGTGGGGAAGGCCTCCCCACGCCCACCCTACACCCGTGACCGCCATCTGGGGCGCCACGGTCGCGAGATGTTAACTTCCTCGCCTGGCATGCAGGAGGTCTTTCGTGGGTTTTTTGGAAGCACGTGACGACAGCGACGTCGTCACGCAGAGGTATGCCATCGGGAGGACGCACCGGCGCCCGTCACGCACACGCGCATTCCCTCGCTCGCTTTGGCGTCCACAGGCGAACGCGGCACGATGCGCGTGCGCGGCAAAATATTGGCGGCCGCCGTACAAACCCGTCGAGCGGTTTAAAGTTGAACCCAGTAGCGCGCCATCGACGCTTATTGCATTGCGCGAGAGTTCACCGGTGGAGGGGGGCAATAACAAACGCTAAACATTGCTAATTATTATAAACAACCCTGACCCCCGCTCTCTCCAAGCCACCCCCCACCCCCCCTTCCACTAACGGAATCCCTGAGGAACGTGCGGTAACGGGCGAGACAGCCCTGTTGGGTAACGGTGCCGTCAACTCGCTCTGCAGCGACGATCAGCGCTGGATTTGGTGTGCGCCGCTCGCAGAGGACACGGGTGGGAAGGGCGGGTAAACGCAATACCGACGCTCGTTCCGCGGCTGCTTGGGGCCACTAGGCTCCGGGCGTGCTGCTTTCACCCTCTCACCGTGAAGATCGCCGCGACTGACGCCGCCACCGATGCTGCCCAAGACAAAAAGTCTTTCGGAAAATTCCAGGGGGGGGGGGGTGTGGAAAAGCAGGAGCGTCGCGTGTACAACGGTTGGTAAAAGACGGACGGACGGACGGACGGACAGACAGGCGTTGTTGTTTTGTTAAGACGGACGACGCGGATGGTAAGGCAGCTTTAGGGGGTGAAGGAGCCCCGGGCACGCCACGAACCGACGGTGAAACGAAACCGTTGGGAGCGACGGTCGAAAGAAATTTTTTTCGTTCTCTCGACGTTACTTCGACGTCACCGTTAAAAACGGAGCTACGGAGAAGGGACCAACTCTCGCGTGGGGACAAACCGGGCGACACGGCCCCCCCCAGCCGAGCCGTCACGTGGCGAGCGCCGATTCGGGGGTTTTGTTACCAGAACCGGGAGCCGCGCGCCAACGGCGAGCTAGAACACCAGCACGCGGTTGTTCCCGAAGTCGACGACGGCGATGAGACCGTCGGGCGTGACCGCGATGCCCGACGGCCGGTCCATCTGGCCGAGGCCGCTGCCGGGCCCGCCGAACTGGCACAGGAAGCTGCCGTCCGGCTCGAAGATCTGCACGCGGTGGTTGCGCGAGTCGGCCACGATCACGCGGCCCTCGGCGTCCACGGCCACGCCCTGCGGCCGCAGGAACTGGCCGGGGGCCGAGCCTTCCGAGCCGAGGAAACGCGCCGAGCCGCAGTCGGGCCGCACCACGAGCAGCCGCTGGTTGTTGAAGTCGGTGACGAGGAGGTGGCCGTCGGGCATGAAGGCGACGCCGCGCGGCGAGTCGAAGTGCCGCCACAGGCCGCCCTCCAGGCCGTACTTGTTGACGAAGGTGCCGTCGGGAGAGAAGAGCTGCACCCGGTGGTTGCGCGTGTCCGACACGAGGATGAGGCCGCCGCCGGCCGACTCGGGGCTCACCGCGACATCCCACGGGTAGCAGAACTGGCCGTTCAGGTGGCCGCGCTCGCCGATCGCCAGCAGGAAGCGGCCGCGCGAGCTGAACACCTGCACCCGATGGTTGTCCTTGTCGGCGACGACGATGCGGTCGCGGCGGTCGTCGCAGGCCACGCCGGCGGGGCGGTCGAACTGGCCGGGACGCGCCCCGGGCGCGCCGAAGCGGAAGAGGAACTGCCCGGCGGGGCCGAACACCTGCACGCGATTGTTGCTGCGGTCGGCGACGACGAAGCGGCCCTCGCGGTCCACGCTCACGCCCCAGGGCCGGCACAGCCGCCCGTCCGCGTCGCCCTCGCCGCCGAAGCAGCGGAGGGGGATGCCGACGCCGGCGTAGCTGCGGCCCGCGCGCAGCGGCACGGTGAAGGGGGAGCCGGGAAGGTGGCGGCGGGGCACGGGGCCGGCGCCGCCGGGGGTCGCGGTGGCCGAGGAGGCGGCGGCGGCCACGGTGACGCTCACGCGGTGCTCCTTGTCCTGGTCCGAGCGGTAGCGCACACGGAACGTGCCGTCCTGCAGCTCCACCACCTGCGCGGAGGGCGGGCGGGCGGGCGGGCGGGCAGGTTAAGCGCGGAGATTTAACTTATACAGCAGGCATCAGGGTTGAAACCACGACCTCCTGCATACCGGGCGAGGTCGTTAACATTTCGCGACAACAGCACCACACTATGAGACCTCCTTTACCAGTGGCAAAATATAGCGATAGGTTTTTACCCTTTAAACTGGTACAAAACTGACACCTTTATACAAGGCATCATGTTTGCAATAACCGCAACACAAGCAGTCAAAATGCAAACAAAAAGAAACAACTCTGATAATGGTAATGATATAATATATCAGAGTTGTTTCTTTTTGTTTGCATTTTGACTCTCACCTCAGATAGTGGGCACGGGGGGTGGGGGCGGGGTGGCGAAGGGCCCCCCCCCCACCCATGCCCCCCACAACCCACCCACCACCCCCCACCACCCCCCCACCTCGGTCCAGCAGGGGCTCCCGTCGGGCGCGGTGACGGCGACGGCGAGGGTCTCCCCTCCCCCGCAGCAGGGGTCCCCGCCGTGATCCTGCAGCGCCACGGCGAAGGTGGCGACGCGGCCCCGCACGGCTCGCTGCAGCCCCTCGCCCACCGCCGTGGAGAGCAGCGCGCACGCCCCGCTGCTCACGCTGCCCAGAGCACTGCTCGCACGCACGCAGGCACACACGCAGGCACACACGCAGGCACACACGCAGGCACGCACGCACGCAGGCACGCACGCACGCAGGCACGCACGCAGGCACGCACGCACGCAGGCACGCACGCACGCACGCACGCAGGCACACACGCAGGCACACACGCAGGCACACACGCAGGCACACACGCAGGCACACACGCACGCACGCAGGCACACACGCAGGCACACACGCAGGCACACACGCAGGCACACACGCAGGCACACACGCAGGCAAAGGGTTCCACTAACTCCGCCCCGCGGGCAAGTGCCGTAAAAGCGAGCAGCGACGTTTCTAAGGTCGGAACTGCGCGCATGGAAAGGGGGTGGTGGCCCAAGCCACGCTCGGCCGCCTTTGTCTCTCCCGATGGCGATCCTAGGATGGATTGCGCATTACAAATTCTAACTAATTAAACTTATTTTTCGATTTAAAGCTTTCGTGACTGCAGGGATTCATCTTCTTGGTTCTTTCGGTAAAGTCACGTAGAAGGGAAGTAATAAAATAATAAAAATAAAACATCATAAAATAATTCTCACGACGTTATTACTTCCCTTCTACGTGACTTTACCGAAAGAACCAAGAAGAATAATTAAACTTTACTCGTCGTAGAGTCGGCCTAGAGGAGGAGGGCCCAGGACCGGTTCAGATAATTATCTGTCACCTGGCATTGGCCGTGAGCGGGAATCCAACTCGGGTGGCCTTTCTGCCAGGCCGTTTGGGGGCGAGCGCCGTTGTCGATCACCGATGAAAGTGAAGTGCGTGGTGGTGGAGGCGGATGGCCAAAAAGAGGAAAACCACGCCTGGCCTGACTGCGTTTGTCTCTCCCAGTGCTGACGTTTGGGTGCTCGGGTTCGGCACGGCGAACTTGGGTGGAGCCCAAGGGACAATCTGGTGGTGTGGGGGAGAGGGCCATCCCATCGTAAACTAAACTATTTGTGTTTTTTACCAGGGTAAGGCCTCACCGAGCCGATCATCACGTGGAAATTTACGGCAACCGAATACTCGCACCTCAATTCGAAATGCGGAGGGGAAAACCAGCGGACCCGGAGAAAAAAAAATTCCACGCGGTCATGGTGAGAGAGAGGGAGACATTTCAACTCCATATATACACAGCAGGCGTCAGGGTCGGGATTTAACTCACGACCTCCTGTATACCAGGCGAGGTGAGTCAACATCGCCACTGCGGACAACCCCGTGGGGATAGCCGCCTAGCGCCATCGCTCCCGCGTTACGGGAACTCCTCCAAGCGTCGCTATTGCCGTGGCAATTGCCGTGGCTATTGCCGTGGCGGTTGCCGTGGCGGTTGCCGTGGCGGTTGCCGTGGCTATTGCCGTGGCTATTGCCGTGGCTATTGCCGTGGCGGTTGCCGTGGCGGTTGCCGTGGCTATTGCCGTGGCTATTGCCGTGGCAGTTGCCGTGGCTGTTGCCAAGGCAGTTTCCGTGGCCGTTGCCGTGGCAGTTGCCGTGGCGGTTGCCGTGGCTGTTGCCGTGGCTGTTGCCGTGGCTATTGCCGTGGCTATTGCCGTGGCGGTTGCCGTGGCGGTTGCCGTGGCGGTTGCCGTGGCTGTTGCCGTGGCTGTTGCCGTGGCTGTTGCCGTGGCGATATCTCACCGTAGGGCCGCGCACAGCGCCCCGTCGGGTGGCGTGAAGATGACTCGGTCGTCCTCGCGCGGCGCCAGCGCCCCGGCGCGCTTCATGTCCTGCAGCTCGCGGACGCGCGCCAGCACCAGCTCGCGCGCCTTCAGCGCGTCCAGCTCGCGGCCCTGCTCCAGCGAGCGCTGCACGCAGAGCAGCGTGCCGTCCAGGCGAGCCAGGCTCTGCCGCAGCTCCTCGGCCTGCCGGTCCAGCACGCCGAGCTTGGCCACGTGGACCTTCTCCACCTGCGGCGTCGCCACGGAGATGAGACGGCGCCAGGAGAGAGAACGAGAGAGGAGATTACGATTTGTTATTTATAATTCGTAGTAAAGTTTTTGTGTTCTTGGTTCTTTCGGTAAAGTCACGTCGAAGGGAAGTAATAAAATAATAAAAATAAAACATAATAAAATAAAATAATTCTCACAACGTTTCGGCCACAACGCAAGCAGCCGTCTTCGAAACGTCGTGAGAATTATTTTATTTTATTATGTTTTATTTTTATTATTTTATTACTTCCCTTCTACGTGACTTTACCGAAAGAACCAAGAAGATGAATCCCTGCAGTCACGAAAGCTTTAAATCGAAATTTAAAGTTTTTGTGGTTAGATGGTGTTATTTAGAAATGTGTCGTAACCCTCCACCACACCGACACGGCCAATCGGCAAAAAAGTGTCACGTTGACAAGACAAATTAGTTCACTGCTTTAGCCCACCGGTGTGTTGAAGCGTGAAACCGCAACATTTACAATTTTTGAGTAGTACGACGTTTCGCTGGTAATTGCATCCAGCATCAAATCGGGCAATTCGCCAGAATGGTGAGGCTCTGCTCTTACTCCCGAAAGCCTACGTGTCAAACTGAATTGTTATTTGTAACGACGAACACAAAATAAATATATATTTTTTGGGAACCCTTTGCGTTATTTTGAGTACGTAGGTGGGGTGGGGGGGAATTAGGGCCCGCTGCCCCAGCCAAGTGGAGACCCCGAGAGAGGAGAGATTATTCGTAGTTAGCAAACAACTCAAGATGAAAACTAATTTCTTTCTAAGTGCGTTTGGCGCCTACGACGAGTGCGGTTGGGTACATACGGTGCGCAAAAGAAGTTCACACATATGTACGTACAGAGCATCGCCAAGGATGGGTCTACAAGGGGTCGGAGAACGTTCAAAGAGGCAGAGCCATTTAATTTTTTGGTCTTTGGCTATAATAGTTCGCGAGCAGCATTACGCGCAGAGCGACTTACACACAAACACAGCAGTGGGTTGTATACAGCAGGCGATAGCACACGTTCCGACTTAAATAAACACAAACAGGTGATGGAATAAACTGTGTTCATTTCGTTTCCCCCCCCCCCCCCCACTTAGTCTATATTGATATATAAAAGGGAAATTTGTGAATACGTGCGTCTGTTCGAAATGTTTAGCATACTTAACAATTTGGCATGTGGGCAGCTTCCAGACTGTACACAATGCACGAAGTATAAAAAGACTTTTGTATTTTGGGGGGGCGCAATAATGGAGATATTTTGCACGGCAAGTGGGCGGTGACGTCACGTCTGTGATGTCACCCGCATGCGGCAGCGTCACGCAGTGTGCCTGCTGACGTCACGCAGCCCCCTCCCTCCAAGCATCCGCGTAGGCCGTGTACTAATCCAAGACAAGAATCCAAGTCTCGGGCGAAGCCGGGTAGTAAAGCTCGTCTATATATAAACAATGCGGTTTGACTGTTGTACATTTTGTAGTCACCAAGACATTCCAGTTACCCCATCCCCTGCCATAGTTTATCTTTACGTAACATTTACGGGCTTATATTGTTACACGGCTGCCCGCAAGGGGGCAGCCAGAGAGCCGCAAGGGGGCAGCCAAAGAGCCGCAAGGGGGCAGCCAATCAGCCGCAAGGGGGCAGCCAATCAGCCGCAAGGGGGCAAGCCAAAGAGTCTCAAGGGGGCAGCCAAAGCGTCGCAAGGGGGGGCAGCCAATCAGCCTCAAGGGGGCAGCCAAAGAGTCTCAAGGGGGGGCAGCTAAAGAGTCACAAGGGGTCAGCCAATCAGCCGCAAGGGGGCAGCCAAAGAGTCTCAAGGGGGGGCAGCTAAAGAGTCACAAGGGGGCAGCCAATCAGCCTCAAGGGGGCAGCCAAAGAGTCTCAAGGGGGGGCAGCTAAAGAGTCACAAGGGGGCAGCCAATCAGCCTCAAGGGAGCAGCCAAAGAGTCTCAAGGGGGGGCAGCTAAAGAGTCACAAGGGGGCAGCCAATCAGCCGCAAGGGGGCAGCCAGAGAGCCGCATGGGGGGAGCCAATCAGCCGCAAGGGGGCAGCTAAAGAGTCACAAGGGGGGAGCCAATCAGCCGCAAGGGGGCAGCCAATCAGCCGCAAGGGGGCAGCCAAAGAGTCGCAAGGGGGCAGCCAAAGAGCCGCAAGGGGGGGGGGGCAGCCAAAGAGCCACAAGGGGGCAGCCAAAGAGTCACAAGGGGGGGCAGCCAATCAGCCTCAAGGGGGCAGCCATAGAGCCCCAAGGGGGCAGCCAATCAGCCGCATGCGGCTCCAGAGCCGCAGGTTGGCGACCCCAGCTCTGGAGGGAGAGTGGGGTCACCTTGTAGAGGAGTTCCCCTTCGCGTTCCTCCAGCGCTTTCTTGTGCCGCTCGGCCACGGCCCGCACCTCCGAGCGGATGTTCTCCATCCTGGCGTCCACCCTCTTCACCATCGCCTGCACCCGCTCGATGCTGATCTGCCCTCGCGCGCGCGCACAAACCGCAGCCGTCACCAATGGCAGACACCAAGACAAAGATACCTCCACCCTCCCCCCCCCCCCCCCCCCGAGCCTATGCCAACTGTTCGGGGCAAGTGCTGTTAAGCGAGCAGCTGGGAAGACCTGCACGCCACGCCAAGGTGGCGCGGGTGGCCAGCACAACGCCAGGCCACCTTTATTGCGCTGACATTTACACTCCGCACCAGGAGCCTGGCCCAGGACCGGTTCAGAAAACCGTCACCGACGTTGGCCGTGAGCGGGAATCGTACTCGGAGTCGCCGGGTTGGTGGCGCGGTGCGCTAACCGATGCTCGATCGCACCCACGCACGGTAAAAGTGTGGTGGTTCGCGCACCGCACTCCGACACCGCGCCGAACGCACACGCAAGCACACACAGCAGGTGACGTCACGCGCAATTGCGCGTGACCATTTTCTCCCCCGTAGAATTAAGCAACCGCTGTTCTTCCTCCCAAATGATTTTTTTCGGCGTCTCGTAAACACCGCATGCGTGGCGGCCGTGCCCAGACTGCCGAGACCCTGGGCTTAAAAAAAAAAAGGGACGATGAGTGTAACGGGGTGGTGGTAGCGGAGGGAGGGGGGAGACATCTCAGCGCTTCCGCCCGTATCCCCTGCACCGTCGCAGGCCGCACACGCACGAAGACACTCCCGCTTGAACGCCTCCTCGCGTCTCCCCTCCCCCTCCCCACCCCCCCAGCGGGGCCGCACCTGCAGTGTGAGGCGCTCCTGACGAGCCTCTGCCAGCAGCTGCAAGGCGGCGCCGCGCGATCCCTGCAGCGCGTCCTGCAGGTACACGAAGCTGTGGCCGGCGTGCCACGCCAGCGTGCAGCCACGGCAGATGGGCACGGCGCACGTGTCGCAGAAAAGGCGCGCCACCTGCGAAGCCGGCCAGCGCACGCACGCACACGCACAAGCAAGCACCTCCGATTAGAACGGTTGGCCATGTACGGTGCGAAAGAAGTTCAACATAGATACGTGCAAGCCATTGAACAAAGATGGTCACTGCATCGGCGCGCGGCGCTTTCGGATGCGCGTCCGTGGCCGTCTGGAACGCTCTTCCTTACGATATTAGGCAAGCCACTGGAGCTATGCACTTTTAAATCATCATCTAGATTGATACTCATTTCTTTAGAGCTGCTTTTTTGTTAGTTTAGTTTGTTGTCCTTCCCCCGAACCTCCGATTACTTGGCTACATTAGCACGGTCCGGCTACGTAGGGTGTGAAATAAGTTCAACATACACACAAAGCTCTCGCGCGCTCCGTTACGAGCTGGTGGTCTAGGCTCTCGAACCGGTTCCACGGCACGCACAAACCAGAGGTCGCAACCGGGTACCCGATACCCGTAGCCTACCCGATACCCGGCTACCCGTACCCCGCCGGGTACGGGTAGGGTACCCGTTTGCGACCCTGGTGCGGCTGGGTACGGGTAGGCCGTGAGTTACTGGCGAGTAACCGTTTGTCACTCATTTCCCAACGTCTTGTCTCTTCTCACAATTCAAGTTCTGAGAATCAACCCACCTGCGCCTGCAACATGGATTCATCCCAGAGGTCGCAATCGGGTACCCGATACCCGGCCGGGTACGGGTGGCCGGGTATCGGGTAGGGTACGGGTACCCGTTTTCGACCCTGGTGCGGCCGGGTACGGGTACGGGTAAGGAATCAAAACCCGTTTGCGACCTCTGGCACAAACCCTCGAGGGTCGATCGATCTTCACCGTTGGTGGGGGGCCGACTGCGTCGCGATCAACGAATGGGGGGGGGGGGGGGGGGCGGTGTCGGTGGAGCAGACCTCATCAGCCGAACGGTGACGGAGGAAACTTTGCATCCGTCCGCGCTTACCAACACAAGCGTGTTTTTCTTTGTCCTCCTATATGGACGCAAGTCCACAATCGCCGACGTCTCCGAGAAAGGACACGGTCTCACAGAGAGAGAGACTAACACTGCCCATAAAATAACACTGGCCATAAGACTAACACTGGCCATTGACTAACATTGCTCACAGATTAAACACCGACCCAGTTGAGTAAATTACCTTGGACTGAGCTGAATGAAAAGGCCACGATCACAGACTCCTCCTTTTATGAAAGGATGTGGCTCACATGGAGAGAGCGAGAGATAGCCACTTAGGGATGAACTCGGCTGATGATAACATGCAGCGCTCACACGTGTACATCATTGTGATGCCAAGACGCAAGTAGACGAATTCAATCACCAATTCACCATCAACCATTTGTGCAAATTAAATCTTTCATTTTCCTAGAGCTCTGTCGTGAGCCCAGTGTTTAAACGAGACCGGAGTGGCGAGTGATTGGTGTTAGGAGGGAGGGGGAGTGAAAGTCACTCCTATCCATGTTAACAGGCCGGGAAACAGGACGATCCCACGTATCGTTTTGTTAGTTAACGCATTTCCCTTTCTGTATTCCCTCGCTCACAAACTTGTGCATTCGTGTTTAGTTTTTCCACATTAGGGGTAAGGGTTACGTTGTAATTTACGTAGAGAGTAAACAAATTAAGATTACACTTTGCTGTGTTAGGGAGGCCGGCAAATGACCCGTGACAGATTCTGGGCCACGGCAAAAAAAAAAAAAATCGGGAATGATCCAAACCTCGAAACCGGTTTTGGACAACCAACTTAGTCTGCTCGCTACACCACCACCTCGGGCACTGACTGGGGCGGTGAAGTATGGTCAAAGCCACATCCTAATCCAGCAGTGGATTGACCAAGGTGGCTGGCTCTTCTCATTATTGTACACGTAGATCCTTTCAAAATGAATTAAATTAACCCCGCTATTCTAGTACATTTGTAGAACATCTAACATTGATTTAATGGAAACGTGAGCTACAGCGCGGAATCCTTACGCCAGTATGAAGATATTGAACGATATGATTTAATATTATGGAATGTACTTATAAGATATTTGTATTATTTTATTATTTCCCTTCTAAGTGACTTTACCGAAAGAACCAAAAATATTTATAAGATACTGTTATGTAATGTTTAACGCGTTCTTAATCTATTATGCAAAACCGTCAATGTTAAAAGTTAATGTGTATTAATGTCTGAGACACACCCGATGAATTTAACAGCTTGAGTGGTCATTGGATCGCGCAAGATATTATTAAAAGTCCAAATAAACAGAATATTTTTTTTACCGATGAAGCAATTCATCTGCGTGCATTATCAATAACCTTTGGAACGGATAATAATGTAAGCAAGTTTGCAGGTTGTGGTGGCGATGCTTGCTACCAAGGCCGTAGCCATGGAGTCAACATTGGGGGGGGGACCAAATCTTTTAGGGGGTCTGGGGTCCCCCCCCCCCAGAAAAAAAAAATCGAAATTAGAAAAGAATTTCCTGCCTAAAATAAAAATTTTTTAACACATAGGATAGACTTTTTTTTTCTTTTTTACAATGTCTAATAGTGTATTGTATTACATTAGTGTTTTTTCTTTTTTACCTTTTCTTGTTTCATTGTATGGCAGAGATTAGGGATTATTAAAGTACAACCATAACCACAATCATATAAACAGAAATCTATTTTATAGCAATATATTGGGGGGGGGGATATATTTTTGCATATTTGATGTGTGTGTCCCCCCAATATGTATTATATAATTAATATTTATTATATAATTACGGCCTTGCTTGCTACACTGCTGCCTGGCAGTGGTGAACAGAGCACCACCAGTAAAACGAACCTTCGATAATAACCCAGAGTGGCGACGTTTCGGGCAATGACCCTCCCCCACCCCCAAATATTTAGCAGCACATCTAAATCGGCTATGAACAAGGACCATTGCCTGCAACGTCGCCTATAATATAAATAGACGTTTAAGCGTCATTATTTGATAATAGTTTTTTTTGGGATTGGGGGTTAGCTTTAGAAACGTCGTGATGGGATTGTAAATGTTGTGGCTTGGCTCTCCAACACACAACCGGTGTACTGTACTAATAATATACTATCGCCTGATGATGGCTGTTGTAATTGCTGGCGAAACGTCGGACTCGGATTGTAAATGTTGTGGATTTGCTCTGCAACACACCGGTGTTGCTGTACTAGAATACTACACTATACACTACTATACACTACACTACACACTACACTACCATACACTACACTACCATACACTACACTACCATACACTACACTACTATACACTACACACGACACTACTATATACTACACTATACACTACTATACACCACACTACTATACACTACACTATACACTACACTACACACTACCCTATACACTATGCACTACACTATACACTGCACTACTATACACTAAAATATACACTACACTACTATACACGACACTATACACTTCACTATACACTACACTACTATGCACTACACTATACACCACACTACTATACACCACTATACTATACACTACACACTAGTGCTGTACTCGTGACGAATTGGCCACGTTCAGTTTACGTGGCAATCCTTACTAGTTGGCCGTGTCGGGTGGTGGCGGGTTTTACAGACACTTTATACAATTACGCGATCTCACCCTAAAAAACCACCTCTATTATGGATTATATTGGTCGCGAAAGCCTCCCCACACGTGTCCAACTGGCATTATTTGACGCGTTAAACGCGTGCCCTTTCCTGTACGTGTCGCTTTTAGGGTTCATTTGAGATCGTCAAAATTACGGAACAATCTTAAGACGCGTTGGGGGGTGTACGAGCAAACGGCTGCACACACACAAAGTTAGAGCATTACGCGTACGACGCATTAAATTATAAATTATATTGCGGCGACCGTTCGCGAGACCTCAAAAAACCGTTGCTACTTCCAGAGTAGAGGGGGTCACGTAAGGTGAGCCCTAGTACCTGATATAACTTTATTATTATTTTTTAAAAAGGACTTTTTTGTTTCAAATAGGCCTCGGCAAAACAAGGTAAAAGTTAAAAACAACGAGCCTACCCTTACCCTACCTTTTATCTTACCACAATACAATCACTCTACCCTTACCTTTAACCCTTTAGCAGGTAAGGTAAAAAGCAACGAACCTACCTTTACCCTCACTCCATACAATTTACCCGATTACAGGGTAAATACTGGGGTCTTACTACACATGAACAAGGTTTATAACAGGTAAATGCTGGGTAGAGCGCTTTATTCATATAGAATACTCTCGATGATTCCAATTTTACACGCTTTCATTGAACTCACTCTGTTGTTGTTGTTGTCATTGTTGTTGTCGTCGTTGTCGTATCCTCAAATCTTGTAACTCAATTTTAACCCACTTTCTAATGTGGTATCGACTGCAGACTTGGTATACGTATGTCAAAATGGTGACAATACTATATTATATCACTAAAAAATACATATTTTTAAACGATCTTTAGTATACGTTATGTTTCGGCTTGGCTCTAATTGTCCACGCTCAACTGACGTTGGCTCTAAATCACCACGCTCCCTTACGTTGTGGCAAGCTTCGGGGCCACTTCCTGGAGTCGTGGAGTTCTGTCATTACGAGTACATTTAATAAAAGCGTGTTTTTAAAAACGTTTTTTTTTATATTACTTATTAAATTGAGGCCACGGACTGCGCCACGGAGATTCTAGCAATAAACAAGGCACCGTATTTACCGGGTAATATTTCGCGCTATATTTACCCTACCGGGTAATTCTTCCTAGCTACCTTTACCCTGTACCCTTTACCGTACCCCTTGGCATGTCGACACCTTTACCCGGTAAAAAGGGTAATTTACCTTACCTTGCCGAGGCCTAGTTTCAAATAGAACAGTGGACGAACACACAACAACAACAACACAAAGCCTAGATACTTAGTTTCTCAATTTGCGTTATAAGCCGGTGTCGCCGTTGCATCCATATGAACATTATTAGTTGGCCATTCATTTGTATATTTTGTTAACACGACGATAGTGTTAGGATCACAAGTGGCATTTTAACTAGAGTGATACAATGTCGTTCACAGACGACGGCGCGCTGTTAATAAAAGAATGCGATTGAAAGGTCCGGTTAAACATATTTCAAGACACGCAAACAGTTTGTGATAAGAGTTAAGCTGGGATTTTTAAATTAAATTTAACAACTTTAGCTGTGGTTGTTGGTAGGGTAGTGCAGGGTGAATTACCGTACAATGTCCACGTTTATTTTAGTTATAAGCTACGCCACCTAACGCCTACATAAACTAATTAGTAACCATATGATTAATGGATATATAATTAACCAATATTTCTCGTAGATTTGTATGCAATGGTTTCTGGTCTTAAATCATCAACAAAGACCGCCGCTCAACGATGACAGATCATAAACTATTATTAGAATAAACACTTCATATAACCTCACGAATGTAGTCAATTCACACTCAGTTATTTTAACCACAATTAGATCAACGGTCTCGTATTTGCAAAACTGTTTCATCAACACAACCGTGATGTTTCAAATGAATGGTTTTGTGGATGATGATGATGGCGGTGATGTAGATGATGATGTATTTGTGGTTTTAGATCAAAATTATGTAGATTATGTAAATACTTTTGAATTAAAGCTTTCGTGACTGCATGGATTCATATTCTTGGTTCTTTCGGTAAAGTCACGTAGAAGGGAAATAACAAAATAATACAAATATTAAACAATTAAAAATTCTCACGACGTTTCGATCATCAGGTGGCGGAACAACCACAGCAGAGAAAACTACTTCAAAATCAAGATTAGATTATGTAAATTATGGTGATGTTGATGATGGTGATGTAGATGATGATGTTGAAGGAAATGATGGTGATGATGATGTTGGTTTTCAATGTTGTCAACCCAAAAAAACAACTCTATTATGAATAACAACAATTGTTATATGGCCACAGTGATGGGGACATGGCTATAACCCAAGTTATGTTCACGATTAGAACTATTCCGTTATATACTCGATATATATTTAATTTATAGTGCCTGGAAATATAGGCAATGTTAAGAGGCAGGAGTGATAAGAATTTGCGATGATAATCATTAGCAGGTTAGTGGGTGACGATTAATTCCATTGTAGTCAAACAATACTTAAATTATATTAAGGCAATTATAATTATTCGAATTAAAACACGATGGGCCCGATATGAACATTACAAAAAAACTATTACAGATACTTTGAGAAGTGGCTCGTATAATGACCGAGGCAATGCTGATGATCACCAATGAAGACAAATCGTGTTAAGAATAAGCATTATGGGTCGAAGATTAGAGATGGGAAGGAATAAATTGATTAGACTTGAACAAAAATTGCAAACGAATCGAAATGCGGCAATATTTAACCATTGCCACGGTGGTAATATCTTAAGAAACAATCTTAATTATAGAACAATATTTACTCGTGTAACACGATATAACTCGCGATTAATTTAGCTTCTAATTATTTTGAAACGACTTAAAAACAATTGTTTTAATCGACGATGCGGTATTTACATTCGGAAACATTGATTATATGTAGTAATTGTACACTAACGTTGAATACACTCAACGTTACCGTTGTAATCAATGATTACAGTATAACAACCAATAAACACAGTATTTACCTCATGTGATATTGATTACCATCATTATACACCAACATTGATTGCAATCATTCAAATCGACTGCAACATTATTTACACACTTCAACATCGATTCACAATTGTTATTAATTATTTCGACCGACAGTTGACGGATCACGACATTAATATATAATTAACAATGCTGATGAACCTTAATTAAAGCGAAGATGACCACAAACGATGATACGAAATGCAATTTGCCCGTTTCGTAATTAAGATCACGAGATTTTAAACGATTTATCAAAACAAATCTTGCCGATATGACAAATTGTTCACGAATCTTCAACGCCAAACTTATTGGCGACTAATAATTACGGCCATTCAGACGACGCCGATTGCTACAATAACCACAATTCATCAACGTCAATGACACATTGTGGACTAACGTTAATTTAATCATCATAATCAGACCTTTGTTCACGTAAAAGGGATGATGATCGTCCAGCGAAGAGCTTCATAGCTTATCGGATTCATCCACGAGAAATAATCCGATGGAAGTTAGTCGACAATGTGACACGGATCTGAGGGGACCCCGCGAATTTTAACTTCGATTACAATCAAGCCCCAATGGTTACGATCATCAATCACTACCATGGGAGGGATATGATGATGATTTATTATTTAGAACGACGTAGAAATGATGATGTTGCTATTGCTGCTGATACCACTCCGACGAGGTTTATTTAGATATGAAACGATGCTGAAAATTAGTAGGAATCTCTGGCGGGAAAACCGATACTATTGATCAATATCTCATCATCATCGATAGATGGATAAACCTCGGATGATGATTCGATGATATCGGACCGAAAGACGCTAAACGTCTGATGAAAGATAACAAAAACCTCTGGTCGATGGCTAAACCTCTTGATAATTGATAACACATAAACCTCCGATTACGATGATCGATAGACGATCAGGCGGGCTCTGAAGAGATATGCGATGCATACCACGTTATCCACAACACACACAGGACACACATGTAGACCCACACACACATGTAGACAAACACACATGTAGAAACACACACACACACATGTAGACCACACACACACGTAGACCCACACACATGTAGACAAACACAAATGTAGAAACACAGACACACATGTAGAAACACAGACACACATGTAGAAACACAGACACACATGTAGAAACACAGACACACACACGCATGTAGACCACACACAAATGTAGAAACACACACACACGCATGCAGACCACACACACATGTAGAAACACAGACACACACACGCATGTAGACCACACACAAATGTAGAAACACACACATGTAGAAACACAGACACGTAGAAACACACACACACGTAACACACACGTAACACACACACGTAACACACACGTAGAAACACACACACACGTAGAAACACACACACACACATGTAAACCACACACCACCCACCTCTCTTTCGTGCTGTCGGCAGTACGTCTGCTCCCCGTCTCGAACCGGCACCATCATCATCACCTCCTGCTGCTGATGCTGCTGCTGCAACTGCTGCTGATGCTGCTGCTGCTGCTGCTGCACTGGCTGCATGCGGTGATCCTTGGTGAGCTTGACCCGCCGGTGTGCGGACACGCAGGCGCTGCACAGCAACTCGCGGCACACGAGGCACTCGGAGGCGGCTCTCGCTCCCGACTCACACGAACTGCAGCGGGGGGCAGGAGGAGGAGGAGGCTCTTCGACAACAACCCACGACGCATCACGACCACCAACACCACCCTGCTGATGATGATGCTGATGATGCTGATCGTGCTGCCGAGGACTGCATTGAATGTCGTCCTCGGCGGAGGACATCACGTCCAGGATGGTGGTGATGAGGAAATTGGGAAGCTCGTCGTCTTCGTCGTCTTCGTCGTCGTGGTCGCTTGCAAGCTCCGCATCGTCTGGGAAGTCCACGGCCCCGTGGCCCAGGCCGAGATCGCCCGGGGTGACGGCGGAGGAGGAGGCTGTGGCCGCAGATGAAGAAGCAGCAGCCGCAGCTGCTGATGCTGATGCTGCGGTGGTGGTGGTCGAGGCAGACGCAACGGCATTGCTGCTGCTGCTGCTGTTGTTGGCGCTGATTGGGAAGCAAGGCATCGCGACGACTTGGTTCCCTCCGGAAGATGGCACGGGCGGTGGACCGACGATTCTCCTGCTGCTGCTGCTGCCGCTGCTGCTGCCGCTGCCGATGATGAGACTGCTGATGAGGCTTCGAGTGCGGAAGGCTTCTGCGAAGTCAGCCATTCGCAGCACAAACCCCGCTCCCGCATTGAGAACCCAGCGATGGGAGCTGCCCTCCTACACTGCGAGACTGCTGCTGTTGTTGCTGCTGCTGCTGTTGTTGTTGTTCAGCCTAACGTCTATTGCGCTGTGTATCGGCTAAACAGCGGTGCTGGCCACGTGGGTTGTACTGCATTGAGCCTAGCTTGCTGTGTGTGTGTGTGGGTGCTACAGAGACGTGCATGCTGTGCGCAAGCCTAAATTAGGGCGAGCTATTGCAAGCAGGCTATGCAGAAGCGCTGCGAGATGTATGGTTATACACAGCAGCGAACACGGGCTGTGGAATTCGCTATGATATAGGCTGCTATGAAGACTATGGCAAAGCACCCGTCACTATCACTATAAATTAAAGCCACCCACTCTTATTTCAACAATGCAGTCCATGTAACCAGTCCCCGAAGCATGCGTATGTAGACCGTGTCCCACGATACTCACACCACGGGTAATAGATCGGGAGGAGGGAGAAAGACCCTTGTATTATTCAAGCGGAAGAGGCAATTATATCGGTTAATCAACTCCCCTGTAATTGAACGTTACGCGTACACAATTAACTTACGAATTAATGCAGCAGCAAATAACCCCCCCACTCGCAAACATCCAGTTTCGTAAACATTCCATCTTTGGATCTCTCCCCCCTCTCTCTTCACCAACCGGCCACTTAAAAAGCCCAGCGCGCAAGGCTGCCCTCATTTAAGGATTCTTCATTTTTTTTTGGGTGGCTACATTAAAAGCAGGGAGGGCTTAGTCTTATAGTAATTCTAAAAATTGACGAGACAACAGCGTTCTAGTCGTGTCGGACACGTGGTGGCCGTGGTGTGGCGCTTCGGGCCCCCACTGGGGTTTAAATGCCCATGTGCGCGAGATTTGAGAGCAGGGCAAGACCACAAGGCATCACCCACCGTAGGGGGGTGGGTGGAAGAGACAAAAATTGTCACCATGCCCTTCAAAAGTCATCGACGGCCATACGAAACAAACTCCAATCTCGACGCTTAGCATTTTGCTAAGGGCTATTAAATTAAGAGTCGTGGTGGTGGTAGCCCGTTTTAAGCGGGGTTATATATGGACAAAGTTAAAGAATAAATGTACCCATACCACCCCGTTCATGAATGGTACGGTCCGAATGGCCCAGCCCCGATCATGTACAGCACGCCCTGTTGTGACGTCATCGCGATACATTTAACTATTCGTTATGACCTTAAATGGCACTCGGCTACTATGAAACACACTTGAATTATCGCTATTCTGATCATAAAAAAATACATTGATACTTTAAACCATCCGTCGAGGATGATCTCAACAATGCCAGGGCTCGTTGGAGAACATCAGATGGTCTTTGCTCGATAATTTTAGAAATCGATTTTATAAATCGATTTTATAAATCGATTTTCTTATTGATGAATGAGTCACTCTCAGCAGCCGTGGTCGATCCACTGCTAAGCTAGGCGATGTCATCACCATCGTGATCAGACATGCTGCTCCGGCCTTGCGATGAAAAAAAAAACTCATTCTCTAAATAAAAAACTAAACAAAAATCACAGTTCTTTTCAGCGTTAAAACAAAATTCATCCAGAAAGTTAACGTCTATATACACACACACACGCGCGCCTAAACGCAAAGTTGTGTATTGTCGGAAGCGATAATTTACATCGCACTAACGTCGTAGTGATTGCCATCATTTAAGCATCTGCACAATAATTCTAAAAATGTATCTGCATCGAACAGAGGTCACACTTTTAACACGGAGCCCCGCGCCGTAGTCTTAACAGACGTTTCGGGCTGCTGGCGAGAGAAGGTGGGAAGCAACCACGCCCGGCCGCCTTTGTCTCCCTGGCGCCGATGTTTACACATCGCACCGGATACTCTCATTTGAGGCCGAGTCGACCTAGGGGAGGCCCAGGATGAATCGTTACTGTTGTGGTCATAGTAAAAGGTTTTTGGGTTAGACCGCGTTATTTATAAATGTGTCGTAACCCTCCACCACCCGACACGGCCAATCAGCAAAAAAAAGTGTCACGTTGACAAAATAGTTCACTACTTTAGCCCACCGGGTGTGTTGAAGAGCGAATCGACAACATTTAACATTTTTAAGTTCGACGTTTCGCAGGTAATTACACCCGGCAACAGGAATCGTGAAGCCCTCCACTTGCTCCCGGTCTTAAATAGAGTAGCAGCAGCAGCAAGGGTGACCGTCATTGTTTAACCCGATTGCCCGATGAAACTGGCTGTAATTAGCAGCGAAACGTCGTACTTGAAAATGTTAAATGTTGTGGATTCGCTCTTCAACACACCGGTGGGCTAAAGTAGTGAACTATTTTGGCTTTTGTTAACGCGTCGGGTGGTGGAGGGTTGCGACACATTTATAAATAACGCGATCTAACCCAACAACCCTTTTATTATATAATATTGGTCGCGAAAGCCTGCGTAGCGCAGCGCGCCAACCGCTACACCACCGCTCCCCACACACCACGCCACACACACCACACCCCACACACACAGTGCACAAACACCACACACACACAGTACACACACACCCCACACCCACAGTACACACACACACCCCACACCCACAGTACACACACACACCCCACACCCACAGTGCACAAACACCACACACACACAGTACACACACACCACACACACACAGTACACACACACCCCACACCCACAGTACACACACACCCCACACCCACAGTGCACAAACACCACACACACACAGTACACACACACCACACACACACAGTACACACACACCCCACACACACAGTGCACAAACACCACACCCCACACACACAGTGCACAAACACCACGCACACAGTACACACACACCCCACACACAGTACACACACACCCCACACACAGTACACACACACCCCACACACAGTACACACACACCCCACACACAGTACACACACACCCCACACACACAGTGCACAAACACCCCACCCCACACACACAGTGCACAAACACCCCACCCCACACACACAGTGCACAAACACCCCGCACACAGTACACACACACCCCGCACACAGTACACACACACCCCGCACACAGTACACACACACCCCGCACACAGTACACACACACCCCGCACACAGTACACACACACCCCGCACACAGTACACACACACCCGGCACACAGTACACACACACCCCGCACACAGTACACACACACCCCACACACAGTACACACACACCCCACACACAGTACACACACACCCCACACACACAGTACACACACACCCCACACACACAGTACACACACACCCCACACACACAGTACACACACACCCCACACACACAGTACACACACACCCCACACACACAGTGCACAAACACCACACCCCACACACACAGTGCACAAACACCACGCACACAGTACACACACACCCCGCACACACAGTGCACAAACACCACACACACACAGTACACACACACACAGTGGACGCGCACACACACACCACACACACAGTACACACACACACCACACACACAGTGGACACACGCCGCACACACACCACACACACACAGTACACACCACACACACAGCACACACACACAGTACACACACACAGTGGACGCACACAGTGGACGCACACACACACAGTGGACACACGCTGCACACACATAGTACACACACACACACGCAGTCTGTGATGGGAGCGGTGGCGCCGTGATTCACGCGGCGTTCAGGAGAGCCTCCGGGTCCCTCCCGAGCTCCCAAATTCGCGGCCACCACGCGGCTCTACCATGGGGGGGTGGCGGCGGAATACTGAACCGGTTCTGCGTCACCCCGACACGGCGTGGAGAAGTATGGCCAAACAACGCCGCCTCCCCCCCCACGGCTTGATGGACAAGAGGCTCTCATCATCCAGCAGTGGATCCACAACGGTGTCGAGGAGACTTGCTGTTGCGACTGTCTACAAATAAACGTTCAAGTTGACACGCGTGCCTTGGCATCGCAGGCAAACGCGGTTCAGTTTACAAGTACTACGTCTGTGCATACGTGCAAGATACACATATGTGTATATAAAACAAAGACAAAGATCCCCCGTATAGCCTTAACAAAATGTTGGGGCAAGTGCTGTTAGCGAGCACCTATGAAGGCCGGAACGGCACACGAGGGGGTGTGTGTGGGTGGCCAGCACCGCGCCCGGCCGCCTTTGTCTCCCTAGAATCGATGTTTACACACCACACTTGTGTACTCATTTTAGGCCGAGTCGACCTAGGGGAAGCCCAGGACCGGTTCCAATAATGTTCACCTGGTGTTGGCCAGTTCGAGCGGGATTCGAACTCGGGCCGCCGGGTTTGTAGCGCAGCGCGCTCACCAACCACTACACTACCGCTCCCCACATATCTAGAATGTGTATAGACCAAGGGCCGTAGACATGGAGTCAACATTGGGTGGGGGGACCAAATCTTCCAGGGGTCTGGGGGGCCCCAACCCAGAAAAAAAATCTAAATTTGAAAACTAATTTCCTGATTAAAATATTTAAAAATTCACTAACACATGGGATGGACTTTTTTTACAATAATGTATCAGTGTATTGTGTTACAATGCTCTGTTTTTACTTTTTTACCTTTTCTTGTTTCATTGTATGTAATGGCAGAGATTAGGGATTAGTAAATTACAACCATAACCACAATCATATAAACAGAAATCTATGCATTCATTTATATTAAGACAAGTCCAGATATTGTGGAAGGGGAGGGGTTTGTTTGACCATACTTCACCACGGCTGGTCAATGTTTGTGTTGATATGTCGGAACTTGAGTGTTAAAGCAAACGCCCTCTGACGTAGAACTCGAGTCGCGCCGCTAACCACTGCGCCACCGCTCCTTACGTGAACATTATACAGTCACGTATAGATAGTAGACACACTAATACATTCGTAAATTAGTGTGCTTTTTACAAGATAAACGAGCGACGTTTCGCAATAATTGCCTTTTATAGCACCAAATAAAATCTGAATATATTTCCGGCAATGGTCCTGCCCCATAGCATGCGAGCAGCATCTCGTTTAAAGTGCTATAAACGTGTCCTGCTATGTAATTATCACAC